ACCCACAGCCCCTCCCCAATCCACTTGTCTTCCTCACAGTTTTTTTTCCCTGATGCAACCTCTTTTCTCTACCCGGTAGCTTCTTTGATGGTCTATCACTAGCCTCGAACCCCCCTCTCCCCACACAGTCTTCTGTATTATTTTTTATTTAAGATCTTAACTCTCCCACCCCACCTCTGGGGAATGTTCCCCTGGTGGTCCACAAGGCAAGCAAGCAAATTATCTATTTTCCTAGATTCTCCTCCCGCTCACCTTGAACTTCCCACAGCCCCAAATGGAAGAAGAAAAAGAAAGGAGGATAATTCACATTCCCCACCCACCCACCATTTCTAGAGTTTGAAGCTAGCGAATAGGAAGGAGATGTGCTTTGCTTTTGATCCCCTTTACCCATATTTTCCTTTTTTCTCCCCAGCTGCAGATGCCTGTATCAATCACTTCAGTTGCCATGGTAACTGCAGCTGCAGTGATGGAGAGAGATGCACCCATGCAGGCACGCGCAAGCACACACACACACACACACACACACAGTCTGTTCAGCAAAAGGTAATGTGATGCGTGAAATCCTTCAGCCTACATATGAGGATGCACTGCACAACGACAAGCTCACAGGTGCGTCAGCCTGTGACGCATAATGAAGTGGTGGCTGGGCAAGTTCCCACACTAACTGCATCATCTCTTGCATTTTGTTTGAGAGTGACAGAACACACACAAATGTGGAAAATGGGTGTGCCGGGAGTGTGCCTTCTGGGAACCCAAATAGGCGGACTCCACCACATGGTTTGGAAAATGAGGGACTATAGGCATTATTTATCCGTTTGAGCTTTATGAGGAGAAATACATTGCACTTGGAACTTCAAGAATATGAGGATTCTTGAGAATTGCCTAAGTCAAGAGGTTTTGCATTAAAGTTTTATCTGCTTTCAAGAATCAGTAACTGAATTGGGAGAAACTCCAAGGACAGAATTTATGACAAAAGTTCTCCAGTGACAACACAACAGCTTTTTGTGTACAGAGACACCGGAGCTTGGGGAAGGGGCATGGGGTGTAATAGCAAGCCAGGATTACGTCTAATATAGCTCTTCTCTTGTTTCTTTGATTTTTAATCTAATGGCTCCTTTATTGTGTCCTCTTTTTAACTTACCAAGACAAAAGGGTTTTGAACATGCTTCTAGAGCTGAACAAAACTGCAAGTGACCTGATCACTAGGAATCCTTGCAAGATGGGTCTCTTTTGTTATCTTCCTTTCATCTCAAGACAGGGAGATCAGGCATAAAAGCTCAGTTCAAATAGCCCTTTCAACTTATCTGGCCTTTATAACCCAAACATTATTTTCACAATCTGCAGCCAATTCCCAGACTTCAATCCCAAATAATATATCCAATGTGAAAAATAATGGGACTTGGGATCCATCTACACCAGTAGGGTCATTTCGGAGAGCATTGCCAAATAATGCAGTCTGTGTTGGGCTAAATGGACCATGAACTCCACTAGTTGTTTAAGGTGCCTATTCTTACAAAATAGGATTATTTTGGTTCAGTTCACTGCAACTCCTTTTGTTTTTAAGCTCAAGCCAATTATAACGGAGCAGCAGTACGTTTTCTACTTCTAGCAGACCCATCCCCTGAAACACACCATGGTTGGGTTCGTGAAATACGTCAGTCTAATGATGTGTAATATTTTTGAACTGAAGTCCAAATGTGACCTTTAAATAACATGTTGGAGTCAGTCAACTTTCAAAACGCAAGGCAGGAAGCCAGGTCAAAAATTAAGTATAATTTTTATTTCATTTATAGTCCGATAAAAATTAGGTTTGACCAATATGTGCACTGTGTAATTTCTCCCCTTCTGAGATCATAACAATTGCAGTATGGTAGCAATTTCTGGAGACTTCTGAGTACTACACCAAGATTTTCAGGAGCCATCTGGGCCCTAAGGTATGCCCCTCTGAGGAAGCTACAGAATATATTGCTTTGTTCAGTTTGGGCACTGTAGTCCGTGAACCACAATTTCTGGATAAGCAGAATATATGAACTATTCACTGTAGCTTTTTCAACAAACTGATTAAAATCAACCATGGCTTCACAATGAATGAACCAAGCTACTATCGCAAGCAGGCCCACCTAATAAATCAGTATAACTGTCAGCCACAGATGAACACAGTCTGCCTGATTAGGGAGATGCATTTGATTTGGATTTTTCTCAAGAGGTCTGTCTAAACAGAAGTGCTGCTTGTGATAGATTTGTATAGCTGTTATTTGGGAAGAAAAATTGGACAGTTTTCCCTTACTTGGTTTGTGTGTTTATATTTGGCAGCAATAAGGACTTGTACTAGATAGGGTTTTTAGCCATTTTAGATTATGATGAAGATAATGGTGGCGGTGTATCTCAGCAATCTTAATGGATACTAACAAACCCCAGTGCAAATAGGGTTGTGCTTTGGTCTTACAGGGATGGGAAAGGTATGTTAGATGATCATATGTTGAATGATCTTTTAGGGATGGTTCTCTGATTATTCAAAAAGTGATGAGCCCAAAATATCTGTTGCTAAGCGATACAGCTGTTAAGTGAATTTTGCCCCTTTTACAATCTTTCTTGCCACAGTTGTTAAGTGAATCACTGCAGTTATTAAGTTAATGACATGATTGTTAAATGCATCCCTATTGACTTTGTTTGTCGGAAGGTTGCAAGAGGTGGTCACATGACCCAGGGACATTTCAACCTTCATAAATATGAACCAGTTACTAAACCTCTGAATTTTGATCACGTGACATGGGGATGCCGCAGTGGTCATAAGTGTGGAAAAACGGTCATAAGTCACTTTTTTCAGTGCCATTGTAACTTCAAACGGTCACTAACCAAATGATTGTAGGTGGAGGACTATCTGTATTGGGTGCATTCCCAATCTTTCTACAAAAGAGGTTTTGGACAATTAGCCCAAAGTCTCATTCTCCCAGTAACAACCACTTGAGTTGTGGTTTCATTTGTCACCAGAGGAGCAACATTGAAGACCCGTGAATGACCCCAGCTAGTAAGATGTTCAGATAATGTAAACTGATGTGTCTTCCTTTTCAGGAGAACAGGCTCAGAGGTCCATTCTTGAACAAGAGAGGGATCCTTTCTATAAGAACTGTCGGTAGCACTAAGCATGAGTAACTGTTCTGACACTGCCTGTGTTTTTAGTAGCTGTATACATAATACGAATTGAACAGAGGCATTTTAAAAAGTGGATTAGAGCCGTGTTTCTCAACCTTAGCAACTTTAACTTCCAGAAATCCCCAGCCAGCATGCCAGAAACATAGGATAGAGTTGAGACAGTTGGAAGGCAAAAAAAACAAAAAATGTGCTTTTTAAATGATTATGTATAGGGTTACCTATAGAATTTCCAATACGTGGTTTGCATCATGAGATACAGTGATAGAATTAATAGACTGTGAAGATAGCTGTTTCTCTAAAAAAAAAAAACCTATGCAGGCTTTTTTAAATTAAAGAGTATTGAGCTTAATGAGCTTCCATCCCAGCCTCAGGTTTATTACCCATGAGAGTTAAGCCTATTTTACAGATAGTTCTGAGGATAAAATTGGATATATCCTTATACATGTTTTACTGAGTTTCTTGATTTATGAATTGCCCGTAATATTTAGGGACTGTCTGTATTACAGAAGCTAAGTACTGAATAAATAGATTGCCCTAATAATGGAGTCTGAACATATGGTTTGTCTTTGTGCTTTTAGCATTTGAAACAAGACCCCAAATGACAACTACATTTATATGAATAATAATTAATGCATTTTATTGCTGCAACTCCATTCTGTATTACTGTGAATGACTCCAGAAAGAGAAATTGCCAGACATGTACACTTCTCCTGATACAATCCAGAAAAGGTCACATTCCTAAACTGCAGGATCTTCCTTTCTGTTTTAGGAACTCCCTTTCACCAATTTGTAATAATTTGCATGAAAGCTCATATAGCATTCTAGGATAAGAAGGAACTATAAAAATCAATAACTTTTTAATTAGTGTACTTAACCATTATCATGCCAATTTTATTGCATTCTGTTTACAATAACTTCTTTGCCTTCTTGAAATAATGAATGCCTGGGATGACCAAACTGCCTGATTCAAAAACCTGTGTAGGTTTTCTACTGTTAAATTGGGAAAATTGAATCATGTTAGGCTAGGATCTTCCTTGACATAACTAGTCATCTAGGGTCAACCCATAAAACTGTAGCTCTGAATCTTTCCTAGCTTGGCACCCTCTATAGGGATCTGAACAGTGCAGTGTATGACTATCAGTTTGGCAGTGGTGCGAATGATAATCCAGGATCTTTGGAGAATATGACATTGGCAAATGTTAAAGTGGACTGAATGTAACATTTTCTGAATGCAATTGCTGAAATTCCATAATCACCTGCTGCAAACAAATATAACTGGGATAATATGGATGTGATTTAAAGGGGCTGAAAGAAAGCAGCCAGGAGTAAACCAGAGGTGATGTTCTCGTGATATCATATTTAGAAATTTGCATGAAGATACCTACCTACACAAATATATTCAAGATACATAATACCCAAATCATGTCAAGCTATTTTGGCTCCTAGGGTAACAATTTTTTGCTCTCCATGGACATGAAAATACAATGATAATATCTTAAATAATTTAATGATCAGGTACTCTTGTGTGACATTTAGAACCTGCTGTTAACCCAGCAGTCTTTCTTTGTCCATTATTACAACGGGCTCTTGCAGCAGAGACTGGAGGAAAAGGCGAACTGCAATGCCCTTTTGGCAAATAAAATGGAGGCCAGTCTGCTATTTCCTTTATGTGGAAGAAAATGTTTCAGTAAAAAAAAGGGAGAAAGTGATTTTGGGGAAGTTGCAAAACCAGTACTGTATGAGTAATATCTCAAGATATTTGAGGATGACGTCACAGTGGACACATGAAGAAAGTGCAAGGATTTAGCACGTTCTGACAGCCTCTTTCTCTCTTCTTCCCCCTTTAGGTGAATGGACGGGAACTGTCCCGTCTCTCGCAGGAGCAGACGCTTGAGGCCCTCCGGTGCTCTAAGGAACCTCTGGTCATCCAAGTGTTACGGCGCAGTCCTCGTAGCCGGGGTGGAGGTGGTGAGGGAGCCACCTCTCAAGGAGATGTCACAACCCTGGTCGATAGCGGAACCCAGACAGACATCACCTTTGAACACTTAATGGATTTAGGCAGGATCCGGCCACCAAGCCCTCCAGCCATGAGGATGGAGCCCTATGGGCTGCCTGATCTGTAAGCATTTTCCTGAGGAAGACACGCTGTCCTCTTGTCTTCTTTATTTACCATTGATTGTACTTATATCTTGTACACTTCTGGTACAAGCCAGCCCAGGATAGCTAATAATATCAATCTAGGAGATAAAATCCTAACATGCGTTAAATACTGTAATGATAAGTGGAAGATGGGCTGGTAGGACCTGCACAGGAGAAGCGAAGGGGAATCCTTCCTATTTCCTGGGAAGAGAGCCGGGGAAAATTCTAAGTAGGAAAGAGGAAAACTTACCTTCCTATCCTTTGTTGTTCTTCAAAGCCCCTCAATTGCACATGAATATTATGACCCTGTGGAATTCATGGAAGGAGCTGCTCCAGAGGCTGAGCGAGCAGAAGACCTAGAATACGAGGTGAGAATGTGAAACTGGAACCCCATTTCAAGTTTCTGGCTAGAACAGGATTTTGGATTACCATGATGTGTTTTCATATCAGAATAAATTCAGGTGTTTAAATCAAAGCTAATGCGTAAAAACAATCAGCTCGATTGATGCTTTACTCAATAGGTCCCCAAATCCAGAAGAGGCATCGGTGCAAAAGGCTTACAGCCATGTTTTCTAAAAAGGGTGCAGGTTGCACTTGGAAATATTTGAGCATCCTCTACCAATGTCAAATATAGGGTGGTGCCTTCTTGTCATTGTGAGAGAACTTTGAAGCAAGGATGAAAGGCTACTCATTTTGAACAAGGGGAGAAGCTTTCTCCTTCCGGTTGTGAACCCGACAGAGGATTGCCTTTAGAATTAGAGCCAAAAGGATCATAAAGGAGGAAACATGCTCAGAGGAAAGCCATGGTCTGAACAGGCAGCTTGCTATTCTTCTAGAATAATCTAATTTGAACTGAGATGCTCAGAATCCACTTACTATCCTGGAATCATGAGAAAGAACATGGAGTGCAGCAGCAGGAGGTAGTAGGACACGCTGCTAAGACCAAATGGTGGGCTGGAATTTTAAATATGGCTCCTCTTTTGGGAGGGAGATGTACTGAAACATTTTGTGGCAAATCCTCCTTACGGGTAGTCCTCACATGATAACTGATTGCTTAGCAACCATTCAGATTCATGATAGACTTCCCCAGAGCTGGTTAAAGCCCGTTTTTGAAGTTCCAGTGGCTACACACACACACACACACACACACACACACACACACACACACACACACACACACACACACACACTCACCCCTGGCAACTGGCTCACATTCATGGCCATTTGCAATGTTCTGGAGTCATGTGACTGCGATTTTTGGCAGGTTTTGCTGATTTTGGTGTTAATTTCCAATTTCCGGCAAAAAACACCCATTGCTGAAAATAAGTTCACTTAATGATCACTGTGTTCTTTTAGCAATCTCTGTGTTTGATTAACAACGAGAAATATGACAGAAATTTAATCTCTTAATCTAATTTCCGCATGTAACACTGGTACTTAGTAATTGCCTCAGAGGTGACACAAAGGTGGGGGGGTTCGTTATTCACACATTCATTCATAAATGCTCAGCTGAGATCACAACCATCAAGTGCTGAGTATGCTTGTGTGACTTGAGCCTTAATTTAGGCATATCTAAGTCACTGGAAGGGAGTGGCTGGGAAGTCCACATTTTTAAAAATTATTTTAAATTCAAAGATATATAAGAGAAGAGCTAGAAAAAGAGACAGCCTTGCATTTTGGATTTTTTTTTAAAAAAAAAGCAAAATACAGGTACTTTTGTAACCATTCATTTAGCGACCGTTCAAAGTTACAATGGCCCTGAAAAAAGTGACTTACGGCCTTCCCTCACACTCATGACCCTTGCAGTTTCCCCATGGTCACTTGATCAAAATTTGGATGCTTGGCAACCAACATTTATTTAGGACATGCTGGCTGGGGAATTCTGGGAGTTGAAGTCCACAAGTCTTAAAGTGGCCAAGTTTGAGGAACCCTGATTTAGGATGATTGCAGTGTCCCAGGGCCATGGGATCACCATCACCTTCCCAGCCAGTTTCCAATGAGCAAAATCAATGGCGGAAGCGGGATTCAACTTAATGACCACATGATTCACTTCACAACTTCACAACGATTTGCTAACAACCATAGCCAAAAATGTCGTAAAATCGGGCATGACTCACTTAACAACCGGTTTGTTTAGGAATGAAAATTCTGGTCCCCGTTGTGATCATAAGTCAAAGGCTACCTAGTAGAGGCAAGAACTCTTTTAGTTGCTTGGATGCTCCTTCTTTGCACTATGTTTATTGCAGAGATGCCAGATAAGCACATCACCAACCTTTGGCAGCAAAACTGGAGAATTCTCTGGGAGTTTAGAGGGCTGCAGGCCGCTTACATGTTATGAATCGCCCACCTACCGTACTTCTATCTTATGGTTGGGTGAGATTTTTAAAGAGAAATAACGCCTGTAAAACTTTGGGTTTTTGAGTATATATGGAGGAAAGATAGCCAAACAGGGCCAATTCAATGAGATCTGGACCTTCTTGTCAGCTGACTGGATGAGATATTGAGAATCAGACTAAGTTCTTACAAGAAGAATCTTCTGTCCCAGGGCGTCTAAGAGAGGCAGATAGATTGCTTCACTGGGTGATCTTTGTGTGTTGTTTCTCTGTGTCTTACAGGAGGTGGAGCTGTACAAATCCAGTCACCGGGATAAGTTGGGCCTGATGGTTTGTTATCGAACTGACGACGAGGACGATGTAGGCATCTACGTTGGAGAGGTGGGGTCAGGGGCAGTGTTTAAAGAGGTGTAGTAGGTTAGGTTAAATGGGGGAAAGAGAGATCTACATGTGGGGATTCAATGTATATGAATTGGGAGAGAACTGACAAGAGTTCCTGATTTTGTACTCTTGCTTCAACAGCCAGAAGTATTCATTTTGTGTGGGAGTGCGTTACGTGTGTGTTTGTATACGAAAGTGGTTACTACTGGAGACAGCAGGAGCTCAGAAATTGAAGTTAGGAGAAAATCTTCTAGACTATTTTCATTGAGGAAGGAGGAATGTGTAAATTCTGTAGAGGCTTCCTTCTTAAGCAACTTCATGACTATTTAGAACTACTAAACCCTAAAGAGCTACAAAACTCCAGGTGACCACTAGATGGCAAAAAAGAGATGCAGACCATTGTAACCCTTTGCTGTCATCTAATGGTCATTCTGAATAATGCAACCCAGATTAATTAGTTCAACTATGGTGGTGATTTTCTTTGGGATTATAGCTTACTTTTTCTATTCTCTATGGGACCATCATGGATAGTCCCTTGCAGTTGTTATTTGCAATCTTTTTTTTTAAAAAAAAATCACAATATTATGGTTTTAAATGTCATCTCTAGTTTTGCCACAAATCAAGATCCAGGAACATTTTTTATTAAAACGCAACAGTTATTCAATGTGTAGCATTCCATGCCAGCAGTCTCAGTGTAAATGGACATAAATCAATAAAAAAATCAATACTCTCTGAAGTACCACAGTAGCATCTCTAGTGCACTGTGGAATTTTTTTGTTTCCTCCATCAGTTGAAGCTGATATAAACATATCTTTAAGGTAGAGATTGGATTTGCAAGACATTTATCTTCAAGTCACTTATTTATTAACACTGTCCTACCACATCCATGATGAGCATATTTTGATCCTCACAGCTTGGAGGGGTAGTTTAGGGCAGGCACGCTGGCTGAGGAATTCTGGGAGTTGAAATCCACAAGTCATAAAAGGGCCAAGTTTGAAGAGCCCTGGTTTAGGGCAAGAGGTGCTGACCATCCCAAGGTAGGCTTCCTGGCCAAATAAGCATTGAGCCCAGATACCATTGGCCCAAACTGCAATGGTAGTAAATAGCTTCTGCTCTGAGGGCACCAACGTCATCAGAGTAAAATGCCGGAGATTCGGAGGCTTGCTTATAAGGCCAGCTGTTTTGCGCTCTGCTCATTGAGCGAGTCACCGGTTCCCCCCCCGCCCCAATTGGCCGCATTGTTTCTAGTAGTCTCGCATCTGTCCGTGTGCTCCTAGGCTCAGGAATCATCGCCTCTCTCATTGTCACCCTCTTTGCCTGCCTCATTCGTGTCCGAATACCCGTTGCTGTGGGCTGGTCCTCTAACGCCTCTTGTCCTAAGGCCACCTCCCCATGTTGCTGTATACGTGCCCGAGCTCCCATCTTCAGTTCTTGTGCAGGACGCACTTGGGATTTCTCCCCTTCAATGATTGTAGTTCCTTGTTGCCACATGGGCCAGCAGTTCTGATCCCGCATTGACGGTGCTCGTTGCACTCGTTGTGAGTTGTTACGTTGTTCTTCCCACCTTCTTAGTGTCTGATAGGCAGGCAATAAATCTATATGGCGATTGATCGAGTGCCCGTCAGACAGCCAAGCCTCCTTAAGCAGTCGGCCGCCCTTGGTGGCATCCTGAGCAATGGTCTCCGCCCCTGCAAGGTCGAACGTATGATTGTAGCTGGCCATGTGTGCCCATATCTGTGAACACTGTTCCTGCCGTCTAACGGCCAGCTCGTGTTCATGGATCCTGGTTCTGAGCTGCTTGGTCGTCTCTCCAACATAGTTACAGTGACAGTCTTTGCATCTCATTCTGTATATCACTGAAGATCTTTCTTTATTGGGGAGCAGCTCTTTGGGATGCATTATCTTGGTATGTAAGGTTTGATCTGGTCTATGGGCAATACTGACGTTATATGGAGCTAGTATCCACACCGTTGCCTCGGATACGCCATTAATATATGGCAGTGTTGTCCATGCCATGAGCGTGTCTGTATGCTGGCTCTTACGAGGCTCTTACGGTCTGCTGTATCGTCTAACAAAGTCCAACGGGTAGCCATTTCGCCTGCAGATGTCACCTTTATTTAACAAAACCAACCTATTATCCTTCTTAACAAATTTAAACAATCCTCCTTTCCATGGAGGTATGTATTATTTATTTAATTAGTTCAAAAGTATTTTAACAAACAATATTCCAAATTCAGCTATCCCCTTAATCCATTTTAAACTTTCTTAGTTAGCACTCATGGCAAACATTTTGTTATTATTTTAAATTCCATATAATTATTTGTTTACTTTTTACTTTATTCTTTGGGTTGGAAGTACACTCACCAGGTAGTTTATGTATTCTGCTGGTTTCAAGATCTCTATAACATTTCATTTACCCCCCCCCCCAACACTCTAATGCGCTCTGGAAAGTAGAGTTGATGAACTCAGTGTCCTTTAGCAGGCTCCACTTGAGACTCTGAGCTTGATCTGGAGCATAAGTGGGCATTCTCACAGCTTTTTTTTTTTTTTGTCCATAAAAACTCCCTAGGTCTGGCCTCACTGTTTAACTGGCAGTCTCTGCCTCAGATTGTCCCCATAATACGAAGGTGTGTTAATCTGCCATTTCTCCATCTGGAACTATCCGGAGCATGTACCATTGCACATTTAGGGCAGGAAACTCTGTGAACATCTGAACTGTGTGCCTGGTCAGTCTAGTTATTAACTGTGCATGGATAATGTCAAGACCCAACTCTCTGTGTTTATGATTCCTTTATCTTTTGACCTGTTCTGGAAAGGAAAAGTTACAGATAAAAGACAGATGTACTTTCAGGGACATTGTCTTTTGTAAAACAGGGCACTTGGCCATGTTGGGATGTCTACTAGAGCTGGGGGCTCCTTGGTTCTTTGCTCAGCACTTAACATGGGGATTACTACCTATAGGCCTCTAGATGGGCATCTAGGGGTTTCTAGACATGTTCCATGGTGAAAAATTACATTTACACTATATTTCAGTAACACATGAATGGCTACTGGCTACCCAGCCCAGATTCCAGGTTACTCAGTTCTCATAGTTACCAACCCCACAGGAAGCAAAAAGCCCTAACAGTTATCTTAATGTCATTTCTCTTCTACTAGGTCAGTCCTAATAGCATTGCAGCCAAGGATGGCCGAATTCGAGAAGGTGATCGCATTGTCCAGGTGAACATTAAGGGAAGTAATTAGGAGGGAGGGTGCTGTGGATTTTTAAAAAGGACAGTTTAATATAGCCCCCGCCAACTCATAGTAGACTATAACTCCCATCATAGTCAGTCAGCACAACATTGGCTTGTAAGCTTGAAATGATGCAGATCATAACCCAAGTTAAAAGGAGAAGATCCAGTTTGGGAAAACTGGCTGTACTCTTTTATTGATTTATTCATTTAATTTGGTATGCCATCAGCCATCAACTTGTTTGTCCATACATTTACTTTTAGATTAATGGAATGGAGGTGCAAAACCGAGAGGAGGCTGTAGCAATTCTTACCCAGGAGGAGCGAACAAACATTTCTCTGCTGCTGGCTAGGCCCGAGACTGAGGTGGGAATTGTTCATGGCTAAAAGGAAATGGGAAGTAGGGGAGCTGGTTTGTAATTCAGCTGGAGAACACGTGTAGTGTATACACGGGGGAGCCAGAACATAGATAGTCCTCCCTTAACATCCATTCATTCAGCAATTATTTGAAGTAACAATGCTGCTGAATGAAGGGTACTCACAACAGATCCTCATAGTTGTGGCTGTCCCCACAACTATGTGATACAGAGTGGTATACTGTGAGATAAAGAGCTCAACAGAGTATGGCGAGGAAAGAAAACAGTTCCTGCACACCTTCCCATTTGTTTACTTCTATGGAACACTGGGGGAAAGGAGATCTCATTTTTGTTGACTTGAACTGAAAACAAGAGTGGCAGAGTTCCCCAAATCTGTGCTTATTTTATAATGATAAGTGGAAGATGGGTGAATGGGATCTGCACAGAAGTGGTGAAAGGGAATCCTTCCTATTCCCCTCAATCCTGGACTTGCTTCTGCAATTCACATTTCTCCCGCAATTCACTTTTTCCCCTGTCCCCAATCATTTTAATGAATTTTCACACATCTTTGTCAAATTGCCAGAAACATGTTTGGCACCTGAGCTAATGAACAATTCATCTTAGAAATAGTATTTATTTTTAAAATATATTTATAATACAATATATAAATATTATAGCTATCATACATTCTTACGAAGGGGCTTCCATCAATAAAACAGTTTGCATGTCCTTAATATTGCATGTACATGATTCTAATTTTTTTCAGTGGTATTAAGAATTATTTTAAACAGACAAATGTGATATAAGAACCTAAGACAAAAATATATTTATGAAAAGAAACAGAAAAAATATTAAAAAGTGTAGGAACAAAAATCTCCTGGAAAGTAAAAATAACTTCCTCCTTCATTAATAGCAAATATATTCAACATTAACGACTTATCTCTTAAAATACAGCCAAATACATCTTGTGAAAGGCTGCATTTATAGAGCATGATGAAAACTGTGACTCCCAGCTGATTGCAAGGGGCTGCAAAAGAGTTGGATTCTGCCATCTACTCATAAAAAACCTGTTGTTTGGAGTACATATGGGTAATCTCCTGATCTCTTTTGATGAGAAACCATTGATAAGCACAATTCTAAAACCAGCAGTATGCCCATTTACCTGTCATGCCATCCAGTGCACACTTCATTGATTTTTGCTGAAAGCAAGAAATACCACTTATCCCTGTTTCAATAATCTGCTAAACAAGTTGTCTAACGACAAAGTGAGAAAAAGCTAATTTGGCAAGACAGCTTGTTACATGCAAATTCTTCAAAATGTATTTATGAAAATGATGACAAACCACGGGGAAATGACTGAATAGTTGGGGAGCTAGCAGATTAATTGCAAATACGAACAAAGGCGAATATACGTGTCCTGGGATAATGTTGCAGGATCCAATTTGGATCGGTCACCAGGACCAGAGTTTCTGTCTTCCGAGCTTTCAGACTGGTGCTGGAGCCCATCTTCAGGGAACCTCTCTGTAGCAGAGTGTGTGCTGTTCTGTATGTGGTATTTATAGTGCCTGTTGTAAGTAGGTTTTTAGATGTTGATTGGGGTATGTTGATGGCTGGCATTTAAGTCATTAGCTGTCCTTTGCTTGTGCTGCCCAGCCTTCACTTTCTAAGTACTTGATAGACTGGTGGTAAATCAGCACTCTTATTGACTGACAAGAAGGGACTGTTTCTTTTATTTAATTATTTATTGCAAATAATTAATTGCACTTAAATGAAATTATATTTATTCTTTGACCTAGACCAACCTCATTTATACGTCCTGCCCTTTACATGTTTGGAGAACAGTCAACAGCACACCACTCAAAGCCCAAGTATGATTTTGCCTACCCAAATTTTGGTTCATGGGGCCTAAATGCAAATAATAAAATAATTTGAATTTAGATTTAAATTGTACTGATGCTGTTTTTGGAAAATGCATTTGACAAGAAAACCTTTGGTTTTATTCTTAGTGTGAATTATAGTACTTGCCTGATTTGAAGAGAAAAAAACCCCTTTAATAAGTGAATTTCACAATTACTTAAAATGAAATGAGCTTAGAGGGCAAATGCATCAGACACGATTGGGTAAAATATGTTTCTATATTGGTTGTTCCACATTAGTAGCTACTAGAGTACAGGCTGATAGAAAATAATGAAGCTGATGAAGATTGGGCACCTAGAAAGAACCTGGGATGGAAAATAGAAACTGGAGTTGCTGGCCTTTTTCATGCTGACTCTATTCACTGTTCCAGCTGTCCAAACGCTGGAAGGACAGTGACCGTGAGGATTTCTTAGATGACTTTGGATCTGACCATGAAGCTGGAATAAAACCGCAACGGCTGCTTTCTCCCCCAGACCAGCAGGTATGTGGTTTAGAAGTGGAAGTTAAGTAGTTGCTCTGCAGAACAGGCTGAAGCTTTTGCTACTAAGCAAGTAGTACGCTTTGCATGGCTCACACTGGTACTTTCTACTGCAAGACAGGAGAGTTTCTAATGGGACTGTTCCATGGAAGAACATTTAAAGAATCCCAAGTAGAGAATGAGATTGCTCCCAATAGCTGTCCGAATGCTAAACCACTCTGATCTTTTAAATTGACGTCGTCTGGCTTGATTAGCAGCAGTAAATCTAGCCCCCCCCCTTCCCCCAAAGGTTCTTTCCCAGCACAGCCTGAAACAACAGGGCCTGGCCCTAAACCTTGGTTCTTATGTATGCAAAGAATATGTTCTATCACTAAATTTTAGACTTTCCTGCTACTGATTTGAATTAATCCAATCATTCAGGCAGATTATGTGCATCGGCTTCCATTTGCCTCCAGTTCCCATTTCACTGGTTTACAGTAAGGTTCTGCTCCCTTGCCTCCACAGGGGCAAAGCTAGCTGCATATCTTTTCCATAGGAATTTGGAATCCCCTTTTTCAATTTACGAAAAGGGCCAGGAGCGTCATCAATTCTGCTCACTTCCACTTGTTTGGCCTTTAATTGGTACGCCAAAAAGGAGGTTGAGCTCTTCTGGCAGACGGTTGGACGATTTGTAGTTGGCTGACAAGAAAACCTGACTCCAGGTTGTTTGTGAATACGTACAGTTGCCATGATATTCGTAGCTGCCCCCTGTATGCCCACTTGTATACAGTAATATTTAGATTGTGAGGATAGATGTGTATGGGATTTTGTGTATGTAAGGTCACCTCAGTTTATAGATCCTAGAATGCAGTAGGGGAATTGATTATCTCCCAAAGCACAATTTCCCATCTGACTTAACTAAATGCAAAATAGATTGTGGAAGCCTAAAATGGGCCCAGGGCTGCATTAATTTCAGCCAGAGACTTCCCTAATGGACTGTTTTTGCCATTCATCTCTTTTTGCTCTGAGATGAAAGGGGCCAGAGAAGCCTTTGTAGTCGAGAGAGGAGATGAATACGGAGAAAACAATGGCAATGCTTTTGTAGCTGTCCATACCTTGGTAAAGGAAGTTAAATCTTTCATCCGTTTTCCAGTTACATAGGAATGTACAACAGTCTTCCCCAAATTCAAATCTAAAGAGTTTAGCTGCAAGGGTCTAAAGGCTGGCACAGAAGTGTCAGACAGGGCCAAAATCTAGAGCAGCTTTCCCTGAATGGTACCCTCTCCCCTCTTTTCCTTAGGAGGAACCACTACAAGAAAAGCCTTCTGGGGATGCAGCCACACCGCTGACTAACAGCCAGGAGCTGGACAGTGGAGTTGGCCGGACCGATGAAAGTACCCGTAACGAGGAGAGCTCTGAACATGACCTGCTGGGAGATGAAGCACCCAGTGCTGCCAACACGCCAGGCAGCCTGCGCAAATTTGGGCCTAGCCTCCAGCCTCGGGACTTCCATTATAGCATGGACTCCCTCCTGGCAGGGGAGCTTCCTAGTGCTGTGGGCACAGACCTGATGCCAGGACTTACCGATGAAGAATACGAACGTTACCGGGAGCTGCTGGAGCTCAAGTGTCATCTGGAGAATGGCAATGAACCAGGGCTAGTGAGTGCTGCCCTGGATGTCAACCGCAACGAGGTGGCTCTGCTAGAGGAAGAGCTTCGCCACCTGGAATTTAAGTGCCGCAACATCTTGCGAGCACAGAAGATGCAACAGCTCCGCGAACGCTGCATGAAGGCCTGGCTGCTTGAGGAGGAAGGGCTGTACACCTTGGAAGGGGAGCCTAAGAAGCACGAACTGTCAGACATCACTGAACTGCCAGAACGCTCAGATAAGGACAGCACGAGTGCTTACAACACTGGAGAAAGTTGCCGAAGCACCCCCTTATTGGAAAGCCCCTTGCGTCGCTTGGCTGAGAGCCCCAATCTCAACCGCACAGCTCCCCCTTCCCCACCACACCCTAAGTTCCGCCGGGAAGAGCGGGTGCGGCGCAGCCCCAAGGCAACTGGGGAAAGCAGCCCTTATTTGAGTCGACGTCAGCGGGAAGAGCTACCTGCTCCCATCAGCCCTATGAGCTTAGCCAGCATTTGCAAGGACTCACTTGGGAGCAAAGCAGAACCCCGCATGGAGTGGAAAGTGAAGGTTCGTAGTGATGGCACTCGCTACGTGGCCAAGAGACCAGTGAGGGACCGGCTGCTCAAAGCCAGGGCCATGAAGATCCGCGAGGAACGCAGCGGCATGACAACAGATGATGATGCTGTCAGTGAGATGAAGATGGGACGTTACTGGAGCAAGGAGGAACGGAAACAGCACTTGATTCGAGCTCGTGAGCAACGGAAACGCCGCGAGTTTATGATGCAGAGTCGGCTGGAGTGCTTGAGAGAAAGGGAAGGAAGTGAAGCTAGAGGGATTTCTAGTGAGGTCAACATCTTGGCACTGAGCCATCGTAAAACCATGAAGAAACGGAGTCGACGCATCTTGGACAACTGGATTACCATCCAAGAAATGTTGGCTCATGGCACTCGCTCAGCAGATGGCCGCAGAGTTTACAACCCGCTGCTCTCTGTCACTACTGTGTGAGTGTGGGAAAGAACACTGGAGGGAAGCTGCACCATTGTCTCCTGGCCAGACTGGAGAAAGGAGAATAAATACAGCTGTTTCCTCCCTGATTAATAGGACGATTGCTCTTTGAACATACTTGGGACTTTTTACTATTGTACTCCATGGGCTCAAATAGCCCTCCTCTCTAAACCAAATTTAGAGTGTGACAAGCCCAGCATCCTTTCCTGCCTTAAGGACCAGGGGGCAAAATAGGCCACCAAGCGTGCTACTGTCGGGAGCCTGCTAGAGAGTAAAGTCTGTTTTCCTCATGTGTGCACTATCTATATTGAAGGCAATTGTACAAGTCTGTGGTCCCCTTTTACTTATGGGAAAGCTTTTGCCAGCTTGGTCCATGCCAATCCCATCCTGAAGCACAAAGAACCAATTCTCATCTACAGACAATGTGCAGAGCACAAGAAAAGGAGGCTCATCCCCATCAACAGGACCAATGAACCTTTCCTGTCTTCCCAAATTGGGATGTTGTGACATCTTTCTTCTTTCTCTTTCCTCTTTTGTGATTGTGGTTTTACATTTTTTTAATTTCTCCCAGGATGGAGGTCCAAGCCCTGGAGGCTCAATCCACAAGTGACCAAGAGCTCCCTTCCTGCATTTTCTACCATGTCACTGCCCTTCCCTCCCAGCTCAGGAAGAGGCAGTAGCTTAGCATAGGGAGGTTTTGCAATGGAAAGCTTGTAGCAAACCTTGTACCTGAGGCTGAAATTGCATTGTTACAATAAAAAAAATTAAAAAATGTTTTTATTCATTGAAACCAAGTTACACAAGTTAGCAGCATAAATACTTTTGAAACTGGTGCTGGCTGCCTAAAATTAGTAAAGCCGTTCATGCTGTAGAACATCTTTGTAATACAATAAGCACGTGTATGGAAAGCCAATGTTGCCAATGGGCGTTTACGGGAAGACAGATGGTACCATAAAAGCAACAGGAGTGGAAAGGGGTGAAAATATTAGTTCACAGTACACAGCAGTTAACTTGTATGGCAAGCTTAGTTAACTGAAGCACTATTTATAGAATTAATCCAGTTTTCCAAGTTTACATGACACGCTGACTCATAAACTAATCCCAACAATTGGGAGTTTACATTATTAGGCTACAATGTGAATCCAGCCAATGACTAGGTTTACCTATTGCACTTTATCAGGTTGAGCAACCTGGAGCTTCCCAGTTGCAAGCTCTCTTCCCCATCAAAAACAGGAAAATATGGGAAATCTTAGTCCCTTCCATAGGTGTCCTGACCTCGCCTACTTAATATCATTACCAGCAATGTCCACCCAAAACACATTGTGATTCTCAAGCCACCAAAAGGTTGCGTGCCTCACATTAAATAATGTCTCAACCCATTTTAATAAAGCATTATGAGTAGGAGTCTCATAATAATGCTTTATTAAATAAAATGGGTTGAGACATTATTTAATATGAAACAAGCAACCTTTAAATTACAAGCAACCTTTTTTAAAATTACTGTGAATTGGGTCACTTCGGAGACATATTACTGGAATAATTTCTGAAACTCTAGCCACCAAACATGTTCATATTTTCGGAACATCCTACAATATTATAAAAAACATGCATGAAAGTCTTAGTCTGGATCAATCAAATCTCAGTTGAAAAGGACTCAGGTAATGAATTGGGATATATCCCTGAAACGTGTTCAGTTATGCCCTTGAAAGAATACCACCCAGCTGTATGCTGGATGAGCCAAAGTCCTTGCTTGGCTGTTGAAGGTAATTTAAGATAATGACAAAACCCACCATTTAAAATACAGGACAGTGACCAAAAGAGAACAGTGAAGGTACTCCAGTATTATTACACATCAGCATCTTTATCTTAGTATTAGCTTTATATTACATTACACAGAATTGTATCTTGTTCTTCTATAAACTCTAGAATCTTTTTGCATATAGAAAAAAGTACTGCATCACAATTCTCAGAGCTTTTTGTGGAAAAAAAAACCCTTACCATTTAATAGATATTTTTTTAAATAAAAACTTGCCTTGTAATACCACAGAGAAAGCAAGGTTGAGCCCAGCATGCTAAATTTCATTCCACTTTTAAGAGTGGCAATGAGCTACAATTCAAATCAGCAATTACACACTTCAGGGCTTGTGCCACTCACTCCAGGTGACACCCCAGTAGAATAGAAACTGGTTAGGATGCAAATGTACTTCTAACTTATAGGAAGCACCAATCATATCCTCTTATGCATGTAGCCCTATCACCCTTTTTTGAATTTATTTCTATGTTAAAAGGGAATCCATTGCATGTTCCATTTACAGGAAGTCCTTGCTTAGCAGCAATTGTTCGCAGTTACAATTGTAGTGAAAAAGTAACTTTGTGACCAATGACCACATTTACAACCTTTGCAGTTGTGAAAAACAAAGAAAAGCTGAACATCATAAACGCAAGCACATGACTATTCACTTAGTGAACACTTAGCATCCAAGTTGTTGGTCCTAGCTGTGGTTGCTAAACAACAACTACCTATATTAGAGGAGACAAGCAGACAGAGAAAGAATTGGTAGCAGGTTCCATCATGATTTTTTCCTTAAAAATTTGAAACATTTAATATACCTTTAATTTACTCAATGGTCTGTAAAACTGTAACTGAATTTGACTTCCACACTGGTTCATATGCAGATTGCAGCAGCTAAAAATCTTACTGGGCTGCAGAAGTAGCAAATGTTACAAATATAAGGATACCCATACTTTCTATGTAACTGCTTTCCCCTTTATAATCTGGCATGAATACAATTTTAGAGCAATGAGGTAATCCCACCCTGGCTGCAGTGGCTCACACCAGGAGCTGTAGTCATTAGATAATGAGCTGTAGAATAATTATGACTGCACCCAGAGATGCATTGCTTAATGGGATTAAGGCAAAGGAAAATGGATCTTAACTCAGAAGCGGTTCAGCTAATCAGCCACCACAGCCAACCCCTAATATTAAGCCAGCCACAATTCAAAATGTTAGCTTGGCAAAGTATGCACCTTTAGGGTTTGTGTGTGTCCTCTGCTTCTTTCCAGGATTCCAACTCCATGGAAAGCAATTGCTTTATTGGGTCTTTTCAGCTCTTTGTTTAGGCACAGTTGAGTCTCAAAAAAATTACTTTGAAAGGTGGCAAGATCAGTAAATGCTCTTTGATCAAACCATAAGAAGTTCTAACATTGTTATAATTCTGGCCGACTTCAAACCAAAACATGAGATGGGAATCAATGATGCTGACAAGCCACACAGGTATTTTTGAAGTGGCAAAGACAACCATCTTTGCCTTCTAAAGAAAAGGCAGAAAGCAGAGAAGTTGGTATAGAGAGTTTATTGAAGTGCTTTATGCTTGGATGTTACTCTTAGCAGTGAATGCCATATAATATACCAGAATACCAATTAATGCTGCCAATACCTCAGTGGAGACCCATGGTCCATTCCAGGCACCCTGCAAATGGAAGGTGGAAAGAATAGAAACACATTGAATAAACAGCATGGTTAAAGGGAAAAAATAACAAATGGTGGAAGTGAATTTTGTGGGTACTGTACCATGATTTTTAACTTGTTTGGACTACAAGGAATTAAACTGTAGCAGCAGGGAGGTGAGTTGTACCAGGACACATCACCTAAACATAAGGAACTATGCCTAGATATGGCCTGTTTGTAGTGTGAGAAACCCCAATCAAATAATAAAACTGGCCTAACTGGGGAATAATTAAATAGATCAACCCTGCAATTGTAGCTTTTTTCTATTTTGTATATTTTCTCCATTACTTAGCAAAACAAAGGACTATAAAAGAACGTACTGATACTGAGCAGGGCTAAATTTTGAAATAGTAAAGATTTTTTAAAAGAATAGTAATGATAAAGCCCCAAATGCAGTCTAGCAGGGAAAACCACTGGAATTTTCTGGGTAGGTATGGTATATGTGTTTGCAGTATGCACATCTGGGAGAAATTTTTCAGCTTCATTAGTTCGCTATGAAATGTCTGATGTATGAGTGGCCCATCATAGCAGCCATTTTATATACAGATACAATCAACTCTGGCAGCCATTTTGTGCTTGCTTATATAGAAAGCTTTTTTATATCTTTTCTGTGTCTTTTCTAAATCTCAATTCTGAATGCAACCTGTTTAGAAATATTAGAAGCTGGACCTCTGGGAACATGCACTCAATGATACACAGATCCTTTCCCTACCTCATTAACTATAGCTATTTGTACAATCCCTGCTAAATTAGAAATAATATATTAAGTTTTCATTATGAACTGGCCTTCTATATCTGTTACATCACATTCCCCCCACTTTAATAGTGTATATAGTTTTCATCTCAACTATCTCTAGATCAAATCCTAAGTGGTACAAAGGATATTATCCTCCTTGGGAATTGGGAGCATTATAACTCTTTCTTTGCAGCAAGTATCCAAGCATACAGGTAGTCCATTACAGTCATAAGCTGGGCAGTCATAAAGCAGGTCATCTTGTCATTAAGCAAGCCCGTTGTTTGCAATGGGGCATTTTTGACCCAAACCAGAAATAAATACCAGCTTTTGGCAAAAAATATGGTCATTCATGATCATGTGACTATATGACATTGGAAATGTCTGTAAATGCGGGCTTGTTGCCGAGTGTCTGAAAAGTGGTTATGTGACCATGGGGGTGGAATAGCAGCTGTTGAAACTTTGTAACTGGGTCATAAATAAGCTAAGCGACCGGTTGTAAATTGAGATAGTTGTTCAACTAACTCAGTGGTTCTCAACCTTTTTAATGCCGCGACCCCAACCGGTCGTAAGTCGAGGACTAAACCGGTCGTAAGTCGAGGACTAAACCGGCCGTAAGTCAAGGACTACCCAACCGGTCGTAAGTCGAGGACTTTCCCTGCCCGGGAGCGCCGCGCATGCGTGGTTCCGCCCCCTGTGCTGGCCGAGGCGTAGCTGGCAAGTGGCAGAGACGGAGCAGGCCGACCACCAGCTGGCCCA